CGGGTACCCGGGTACCCGGCACAGGCCTACAACATACTTCTCATTATCAGCTTACTCACCTGACTAAATGGCATGGAGCAATACTTGGTTGGCCTTAGACACTGCTACAGTTTAATAATTCTAAATCTCTTTACATATTGCTAGAAATGATCCTTAACCCTTCAAAATCCGCCCGTGTGCAGGATTCCTCTAGTGGTTTCTTTACTTGTCAAAGACTAACGAGCCCCAGGTGGGGATGACTAGGTTCTATCATCGATCCTGCAAAATCAAGATTTCCAAACCGGGTGGAATCTCAGGGATTTGGGAGGGTTGGTTATCTTGAATCTATCAAGCCCCATTATCTTCAACCATGTGATTGTGTGCTGTAATTGTTGCATATAAAGTTCATTGCTCTCTGTCTTTGTACCAGGGAGGAGAACCAGAAGAGGTTGGAGAAGCTGAATGAATACATCAGGTATAAAGATGGTTTGGATTTTCAGATTAACTGCCATCTTTCTTGAAAAGAAATCCGTTGATCTGCTCTAATTTAGCCATCTTGTAGTTCTGAAACAGAAGATGCGTTTCACATTTATCTGATTGTGCTGTGAAATTAAGGCATAGCACTATTGAAGGTTTCTTTTTTCCTCACAGTTATTTTCAAGTTAGGAATTGATTGCATTTTAACTCTTCAGAAATATACCGTATAGAGTTGAGTAGGAAGGCATCTCAGACTATGTGACGTTTTTTGTCCCTGCTGCTCTGTATGCAATCAGAACCAGCGAGCAGGCCATCAAGGAGCAGCAGCGGCTGCGAGACTCACTGGAATCTGACGTGGAGGGTGCCAATGACCGCATCAACAGCATCAACCTGGAGCTGACCAATATCGTGGACCAGCTGGGCGAGGCCAAGGTGGACAAACATGAGAACGCCCGTAGTCACAAGAAGGCGGAGCTGATTGACAACTTGAAGAGGCTCTTCAGTGGGGTGGTAAGGGTGACAGCCTGTGCCTATTGCACGGATATCTCATCGGGCTGTGACAGTTGGTCAAATGTTAGGATAATCAATCCGCTGAGTCTTCCAAATGGGATATTTGGAAAAACGGTGGAAGAAAAAAGGCAAATTTCAGATGCAAAATTCCATGCTACAAGCATAATTTCAAGGTGGTGTAAGTAAACGTATTGAAAGGCATCTGAATGCGTATGCCTGACATTGGGGTCACATAAGTTTCTTCCAGGTTTTCTTATTTTGTAAAAACGTCTTTGTTTATTTCTGCTTTTGTGGGAATTTGGTACAACTGAATATTCAAATATTCGATCAAATGGAAGTTCAAATATTTGAATGTTCAATTATTCAAATAAACTCAGCTTTAATATTTTCAATGCTGATGATCGGTGCTGGTCTAATGTATGGCAGCCACTCGAGGGAACTCTCTTGTTCAAATTCAGCAACAAACACGCAGTTCCCAAAGGTTTACCGGGAAGGGTGGACAGAAGAAGCATTCCAAGATAAACTGTCAAGGGGTAACTGACTGGATTCCCTTTCTCGAGCAGCAGACCTGTCATGATAACGTCATTCTTTGTTTACGTGTGCCCTTACTTGTAGATTTCCCTACGAGTTATTGACAGTAAAGGTTGCTTACATTCTGTGAATCTGTCTCCCCCCCTCTCCCAGTATGGCCGCCTGATTGACCTATGTGAGCCCACCAACAAGAAGTACCAGATTGCCATCACCAAGGTCCTAGGCAAGAACATGGATGCCATCATCGTGGACTCCCAAAAGACTGCCCGTGACTGCATCCAGTACATGAAGGAACAACGCTCTGACCCTGAGACCTTCTTGCCACTGGATTTCATTGAAGTCAGGCCCACCAATGACAGATTGAGGTAAGACTTGACTATTCAGTGGTACACTTTATGTGGATAATTCCAGAAATTAGTGGTCCATTTTTTCTCATGTCCCTGTCACATCTGACAGACAGTTTTGTAAGTTCAGAATACATTCTCTAATTTCCAAGAGTGATTAAATAATTCAAATTACCTGCCAAACAAATAATAATAGTTTGAAATCAATTCCGGTGATATTTCCATGTCAAGTGACCCAGGTCAGATGTGACAGGGACACGAAAATGTCACACCTGTGGACCCCTGATTTCTGGAATTACCCATATAGAAAAGTCTCCCTGCTTCCTTTGTGTATTGTATAAATTATTTCACAGAGTACAGCACTGTAACAGATCCTCGTCATTTGATTGCTTGGTTGTCCGTTACATGTCATTGACTTTGTATTACACCCTGTTAATGCTAACCGCCTAAGCCCTTTTGGCTAGGTAACACTCTCAGTCCTTCAATATCCTGCAATACCCCCATGAAAATATTGGATACAGCCTCAGTCCTCCAAAATCCTCCAATATTTCTTGAAGAAGGACCGTGGAGGGCGCCCACTGCCTCAATCCTTCAAAATCCTCAGGCAATTCCTCTCATTAGGTTAAGGCAGTGCGAATGGTATCCTGGAGCAGTATGAATGATTTCATGTATAATTTAGGCATGAATTAATGCACAGGAGAGCATAAACAACATGAGGTCTAACCCACAACCTTGAGACAGTGCATTCTTCACAATCAGCTCTGCTCTTTTGCCATACAGCCTCCATCCTCCAAAATCCTGTAAAACTGTTTGGAGGATTTTGGAGGATTGAGGATGGTTAGGGTTGAAAATGTCATTGAGCCACACCCATGCAGTTGGCGCGGTTGCAGTTCTTCACACAAGCAAAGAACATCCTACCACACACATTCATGGAAGGCGCAGTCGCAACTCTCTACACAAGTAGGCAAAAATTCAGTCACGCCTTGCAACGTGAAAACTTTGTGACACTTGCATGCCTGACTAGGAATGTAAAAGGGTGACCCGTATGCGAAGAGGATTTATCCAGAGGTTGTATAAAACAAAGAATCTTTCACATCCTTGCAATGGTAAGAATAATTTTATTTAGTAACAGAGTGAATATTCTGCTTGGCTTGGCCTCATGGAATACAGCATTCAGTCTATCACCATAAAATTGTTCTTACAACTTGCGCTCATATACATTCATTATTTGTACATGGACGCTGCGTGTCAAGTGAATTCCAACATCACATGCCACCTTGTACATGCATGTAGATGTCTTTGGTAGGAACTTTCATGGTAATCAGAGGTGATACACAGTTTATGAAGTAAAACTGCAATTTTGCCATAGATGAAACGCCATATCCTTATGCACAACCATAAACAATCGGTGTGTCGGTTTGGCCTGTTTTGATTTTTTATTTTGATTTTCCCCATTGTTAACGTTGCAAGATTCCCACCCCACCTCATCAGAGTGACTGATGGAGCAGTGGTTCTATACAGCAGTGACTACATTGCTTACTGCCATTGGTGGGGGCCACTGCAAATGGCCAGTGACAGCATTGCCATGGTCGCCAAGTTCATCCATGTTTGTCTCATTTTTATTCCAGGGCGTCAGTGAAAACAACTTTTAATTGTTTGGGTTTACACTTGGTAAAGAAAGGAATAAGAACTTAAAAGAACTCAAATGTCCTTCAACAGGGAAATCCGAGACCCCCGAGGTGTGAAGCTCGTGATTGATGTTCTCCGCTATGATCCTCCCAACATCAAGAAAGCCTTGCAGTATGCCTGCGGTAATGCGCTGGTCTGCGAGACTGTGGAAGATGCCAGGAAGATAGCATTTGGTGGAGCCGAGCGCCACAAGGCAGTGGCTCTGGACGGAACTATGTTCCAGAAGTCTGGCGTTATCTCTGGGGGTGCCAGGTCAGTTGGAATCCATTGATTGAAAAAATGACATGCCTTGGATTTTTCCATTGTGTTAAATGGAAGATCAAAAGGTATGAAGAGTTTCAAGAAGAATCCAATCTGAACATGTCAATAGTTGCCAGTGTTCTTTTCCATTCTTCTCTCTCCACACCAGTGACTTGAAAGCCAAGGCTCGCCGCTGGGATGAAAAGTCACTGAACAACCTCAAGACCCGTAAGACGGAGCTGACAGAGGAGCTGAAGGAACAGCAGAAGATGAAACGCAAAGAGTCTGAGCTGAACAACATCCGTTCCCAGATGAATGGCCTGGAGACCAGACTAAAGTACTCCATCAACGACAGAGACAACACGGTTGGTACACCCTCTCTATCAAGTCCGGGAATTGATCTCTCGTTAGGGGTGTGCTTTCCCTGTCCAAATCAGAAACGTGTTTGTTGCATTAAAACATCAACCAGGAACATGTTTAAGGTGGTCCACAAACAGGTTGAATCAGGTATGGTTATGATATCAGAGAGACTGAGTGCAAAGCCCAAAGGTAGGTGATTAACATTGTCGACAAACATCATTTCCACTCATTTACCAAGTCACCAAGTCAGTAGAATCATAAGATTATGTTGTAGGAGAACCAACAGGTAGAGGTTAAACCGCTTCGTTAAAACTCTTAGTTTACTGCAGGAAAATTGTCTACCCATGTATTCATCAACGGATTGCCATGATTGATTAAACAAGATTGGTTGGACTTGAGGATATTTAGTCAGGTTACCTTGCCTGGTAGTCTTCCGCCCCTGGAAATGTATCAGAATACAAACATGCTGTGGCACCTTTGAAATGACTGTGATATTCTTCCCTTGGTAAATGGAGAGGAATGCTGTGGGATTCATTTTTTCCAGAGTGAAATTAACCACATGCATCCATTCACTTTCAACCTGCGGATTACGAGTTTGAGAGTTGCTCTGATGCGGGGTTTCCTGAGAATCTACGTATGAATTCTTGCCATTTCTGTGTATATGTTTAGTGATAAATCTGTGAACAAAACATCAGCACGCACTGCAGTTTTGAAAGGTTGAGGTGGCTGTGTTGGCACTCTGGCAATCCAGTATTCGTGTTGATAGCCTGTACTACTCACGGCATTCAGTATTTGCCACTGTTTGGTCAGTACATTGTAAAGAATCATGAGTGATCACAGCTCTGCTCTGCGTGCTTGCTGTAAACAAGGATCCAGCGATATAAGTGACTGGTCTTTTCTCAATTCACAGCAAAAGAAGATTGTAGCAACCAACAACAAGGCCATTCAGAAACTGCAGCAGGAGCTGGAAGGATATGAGGTGAGATGCCACATACTGCTGGACTTGATGCACATTTCTTGCTTCCCTGAATAAGAAAAGGCATCATACTTTCTTACACATGATAAAATATATATCCCTTGGTTTCAGTTTGTGCATCCTGCCTTATGCCTTGATGTATCTTGGGACCTCTGTAAATATTTGGCTGTTTTGAGCCCAGATCTAGGTTATGTTATTGACTGTATTAAGTATCACGGTTATTACAACCAAAGACATTGCCCATATGTCATTAGTTACACTTAGGTAGCGAGTAAGCAGTAGGTCACAAAGTCAAATCCTACCCAAGTAAACATGTAAATTTTCTGGGAAAGAACCTTGAATGCGGTGCTGTTGGAAACAAAATTACAAAGGATAAACCTGTATAGAACATGGTCACAAAGTAGGTGTACCTTAGTGAAAGACATGGGTAAACATGAGTCTTGATCAAACTTACTGCAGAGTGCATACCAAGATGAATGGTTAACAGTGCATCATAGATCAACTGCTGGCTAGTTGGCACCAGTGAGTTATGCACCTGCTCTAATGGGTGTTCTTGGTTTTGGTTTTGATTCACACTTCAGCCTCGAATGGAGGCCATTGAGGAGCAGATTACGCAGCGGGCGGAGCTGATCATGGCCAAGCGTACCCAGATGAATCGCGTGGAGGATGAAGTCTTTGCGGATTTCTGCCGCTCCATCGGCGTGGAGAACATTCGCCAGTACGAGGAGAAGGAACTGCGGGCCCAGCAGGAGCGGGCCAAGAAACGGCTGGAGTTTGAGAACCAGAAATCCCGGCTGGTCAACCAGCTGGAGTATGAGAGGTCCAGAGACACAGAAGGTGAATAAGAACCATCACATTAGCATGTACAATTTGTGTTTAATGGTGCAGAGTTTTGCACACTGGTGGGTGTGGAGTGAATACTGTCATACTTGAAGGACTTGTTATTGGGTCCGGCGAATGCATCAAAGTTACTTGTGACCACATGGTTTCCTGATATCGGCTACCTTTGCAAGCGGCAAATGTTGCTTAGCAACCATGTGTAGACCATGAGGCTTGTATTCAAGCAAAGTAACCATGAGTTGTCTGTCAAATGACATGGCAGTTACCACCTGTGCAATGTACAGTCGTCATTATCCAGCACTGGGTTCTGACTTCACATTTTCCTCCCACATTTTGCCACTTATCAAAGCTTTGAAGGCTTGCCTGCTGTCAATTAAACTGTGTGAAGCGCTGCTGTTTTTGCCAGTGGCAAATGTACGTTGGGTCTTTTGGTTCAGTGAGAGAGCATTCTATAATAGTGGGTTTCATTTTCCTACATTCCTCTTTGTCGTCATTTTCCCATCATTTTTGTTTTTTCACTTTTTGTCTGGCCTCTAGAGGTCATAATTCACAATAACAGCAACAGTCTTCAATATTCTTGCTTCCCTTGCCTTTGTTGTCTTTCTATTTGTCAATATCCCATTGGTGTTCTATTTTGTTTGAATTATTCACACAGAAATCTCTCCACCTGTCTTAAAGGTTGTGATGTTAGGGTCGTTCAAAATTTGACCTTGGTAAAAAATATTTGGGGGGTTTGGGGGGACAGATGTAAATAAAAGTTCTATTGCTGGCTACAATATATATCTGACACTATGGATGTTACTTGTCTGTAGCATGTAATATAATTACAATATAATTAACGATATAATTAAGAGACAAGCAATTGAGAACAGCAAGAAGTCAGTTGGACCTCCTAAAAACTCTGAATCTTGAGGTGACTTACTAAGCTTCATAAATGCTTTATATGTTAAAAGGATCTTTTACAAGGTGGTCCTAAGAGCGAATTATTCTGTCATTGTTAAACCCTGCACTCCGTTATTTCAATGTTCATATCCCCAGCAAATGTCAAGAAGTGGGCCAAAGAAGTTGCTCAAGATGAGAAGGAACTTGAGAAACTCAAGAAAGACGAGGCTAGACACATGAAGGTATGGAATTCATATGAATACACAAAGAAAAATCAGTGGAAAACAAAGTTTGGTTAACTTTCTCCTGTGCAAATGTTGCAAATGATGGAGAAATGAATGACCCACATCATGCTGGATGAAGCTGCCATGATGTAACATTTCAGTTGTTGAGTCATGAACTGTCAAAACAGGATTTTAGGGAGGAGGGATTGGATTGGAATAGATATGATGACAGTAAACCTAATGTGACTATTCTGCAGTCCTTTCAAATTTCATTCTTTTTTTGTCCATAAATTACAACTTGCCCAAAAGTTTGTCTACACATTGATAAACTGAACATGAACAAAGCAGTTTGTGTTTTTGTTTGCTGTTCAAGCAGAGGACAAGCTTGGGTACCTCACAGACTTTGCTGCACTCAAGTAACCTCTACTTCACCTAACAAAGTATCCAAGTGAACACTTTTTCAAAGCACTCTTGTAAAGTCTGTTGGCTATTAAAGAAAATCAGTTCCTGATATTTGCGTCAGTGAAAGTGCCGGCAGGACTACATTTTGTCGTTTTTCCTGCATGCAATAATAACAGGTGATTGATGAGGAGTCGGAGGCCATGCAGAAGCTAAAGTTCTCCAAGACGACCAAGAAATCGGAGATCGATGACAAGAATGCTGAGGTGGAGGAGATACGTAAACAGCTGTCTTCTGCCAACAAAGAAATAGCAGGTACTGAGAGTATATTGTGGCGATGTGAAAAGGGATAAGCTGTGTCTGGAAAGTAAGGCCTCATTTACATCGTTGTGGTAGAGAATTCTGTTTGATTGCTTATTCTGAAAATGCAGACAAACCCCGCGATAAGGTGATGAACTACAATATTTAGAAACAAACTATATTTAGTTTGTCAGAGGTACTTTGCTGGCCAGTTGGCTGTCCTGTTAAGTATGACATCACAGACTGAGTTTAATGATGAGTTTTTCCTTGTCATTCCTTTGATTTGTCCTGTGTGACACTGTTTTTATTGTGGAAGGGTCAGTAGCACAGGGATTACACTTTGCGGTTTGTCAGTGGTTCCCTGCCACTTGAAAGGAATGGTCACCGGGTACCAAGTGCAGAGGGTCAGTAACTGTGAAACATCACACCACATACCATTTTCGTCACTGCATTTGGTTACCGCTCATCTGTGTGAAGGAGCCCCCCCTAACTTTCAGATGTCCGCTCATTTTTGCATGGGGAACAGTTTTTACCTCACGTTTTTGACCTTCATCTGATTGTCATCTAATCACGTTTGTCTACGACAGCAATCCAGAAACAGATCACAGCTGTTGAGACCAAACTGGAACAGAAGCGAGCTGATAGGCACAGCCTGCTCAAGACATGCAAGATGGAGGACATCAAGTTACCTATGAAACGGGGAACCATGGATGACATCACAGAAGAAGGAGAGGTAAGGCAGGGCATTTTAATCTTTCATCTCTGTTGTTATGATTTCAGTGCATTCGGATTTCTACTGTGAACAAAAAATATTTGATATTTATGAGGTCTTTGTAAAGAGAATGCACTGTTGACAAGATTTAACATGATAAGCTATCTATAATTCAAAATCAGTTCACATTATGCTTCATTCATAATATCTCAGACAGTCTCCCGATTCAACAACGTTCAACTTGACCGTGTATTAACATTTGATAATGTCTGCTGCGTAAATCACGCACTGGCACTTGGATATGAGACAGCTTAATTGATTCTGATTCGTCAAGAGTCTGTGTGCATGCGGCTCAGCACGCACCCGCCAAGTTCATATAAGGAGATTCTTTATGACAACTATAAAATGGAAGTAAACAAATTGTTGGAAATCTGACAGATATCGACTCTCTGACTAAAAGAAGGGTATTTATGAATGGGAATAAATATGTGCTTGGCCGTTCTTAAGCGTTGGTTTAAGAACGTTAGTTTAACCCTCACCGCCAAGCATATTGTTTGGCTTACACTACACAGTACTATAAAATACTAAGTAATAGTTTAAGCCTGAAGGACCTAGCACTACAGATTACTACTTCTGGCTAGGTAACTTCCATTGTTACTTGTACAAAGAACAATACAGCCATGCATTCATAGTGCCACAGCACTGTATGGTACATTGTCTTATCTACTGTATTTTATGGCTTCAGAGAACAATATGGTCATGTCCTCTTACAAGGAGCAGCACTCATTACTAAATTTTACTTCAAGTAGTAATTTGTAGTATTATGCAGGGTTAGGGTTAAGACCAGCTCAGGAGACTGAATGCTGATAATGCCCTCATGACTTGGCCATTAGTTGCATCCATTCTCCTGAGCGGTCCTAAAAGCATGTTGAAGACCAGTAAGGCATATATTTATTCCCTCAGTAAAACATATTGGGAAATATTGCAAGGACAGGACATTGAAACCTGATATAAAGCAAGTTAAGTTCCAGCATGTCCCATTTTTTTCCTTGGATTTATCATGAACTGTACGTTCTCAATTGACAGTCATCCAGCCAGCAGGAGAGTTCAGTTGGTGAGGAAAGCACTAGCATTACTGGTATGGATAGCATGAGTAGCCAGGGGGCTCGCATCATCTACAAGAAAGAAGCAAATATTATCATCAACTACAAGCGGCTTAGTCATGAACTGAAAGAGGTAAAACAAAACCTTTTCTTGAGTGGGTCTTGTTTCATTCAATATTTCACAGGTAATGGCAGGAATGAGATATTGAAATCAAAGTGGAAGTAAAAGAAATGTTCAGTTTTTACACGAATTTCCCTTAATTTAACAATTATCGGAGCTAGTCTTAAACATTCCCGGCAACACCTCTGGAACAGTCATTTCTGGGGAGGAATATTTGTTGGCAGATTGTTGTCAAAGAATTTCTGACCTTATAACAATTGGCATGAGCTTGCTGGCAACAGTGAACTAAAATTGATTACTTAAAACAAATAATTCCCTAACAAAATAGAGTGAATTATTCAATTCCAGTTTAGAATTGACTAATCATACCTTGCATGAAGTTGTCTATGTGTATTTACTTTACTTAGATAATACAGTGCACTTTTGAACAGTTGTCTTCATGAAATTTGTGGAATACCAATTAATGATAATACTGTTAACAATGTCTTTTGCATATATTCCTGCCAAGTTTTAGATACAGTTGAGTGAACCATTTTTCTTAGCAATCCTTTCAGCATGTTCCTTGCTTTCTTCGTTCAGTGTGACACACCAGAAGAGATCAGGGAACAAGGGGATAAGCTATCTGCCAACCTGGCCAGCATGCAGGTGACCCTCCAGAGGATAGCTGCGCCTAACATGAAAGCCATGGAGAAGTAAGATCATGACATATACAAAGTGTGAACTGACACCTCTTCCCTTTAACCCTAAGTGCCTTGTCAGTCTTTTAGGAATTCCAAATCCTCCACTGGAGGGGCATCTAGCCCCAAGCGCAATAAATATGTGGGTTCTACCTTCCACAATCCTACAGAATCCACAAAAACCTTGTGATGGATCTTTTATAGGCAAGAGGCAGCTCTAGATACACATGTACACTACAGTTGTTCAGACATTGTGTGCACAGACAGTTTTGGCACTGATCCTATCAAAAATCCCTGAATTCTTGTGAAAAAGTCACTGATCTGTTTGTCGGATTAATTTATGGAAAAGTGGGGCTAATTTTCCTATTCATTAATGTTATCTGTGTTTGTTGGCAATATTCTCATAGACTTCAAAAGTTATTTGACCCATTGAATTTATTTGTAAACTCAACCCTAACCCTCAGAGATTCTTCAAAATCCATTGGAATGTTTCTGGGGAACTTTGCATAATTTAAGAAGAGCTTAGCATCAGTTATCATGGACATATTCAGCGGCATTTCACTGGACATTCCCAGTGGTCCTCGTTAACGGCTAGAAGTATCATGTCTGGTTTTGTACGGAGTTTATAACCACAGTGCTTACCACCACTGGCTGGGGCCACTGCAAATGACAAGTGATAGCATTACCATGGTTACCAGATTTGTCTATTCACGGGAGTAGATGCTCAATGGTTTCTAATACAGAGGAGGTATTGCAGAATTTAGGAGGTTCCTAAAAAGTGCCATGCAAATAAGGCCAGCTGGGTTTGGTTTTGTTTTATAAAAGTGATATTTCCATTGCATGATAGGATTGCGAAATGGCATTACTTTTTTATACAACTGAATCAATCCTGAAAAAAATCTATTCATTGTCCAAATGAATCCCAGCTTGAATAAACGATGACGTGAGGTGGTTCGCAAAAGATAAAACACGAGCAAGTGAAAGTTGCGGAGCACTGTTTGTGTTGTCTTCTCTTCAGGCTTGATGGGGTCAAGGAACGCTTCCAGGAGACCACCGACAGCTTTGAGGCAGCTCGCCGACGGGCCAAGAAAGCCAAGCAGAACTTTGAAGTGATCCGCAAGGAGCGATTTGACCGCTTCAACTCCTGCTTTGAGCATGTGTCCACGAGGATTGATGAAATCTACAAGGTGAGAAATCTATCCAATGAAATGAACAGAATGTTAGGTGCACTGTAGACTGTTCACATGTTGAAGTATTGCAATACTCATCACCCATTGTATTACTTTCCAAATATGCTCGTTATATCAGTCAGTGTTTCAACATGGTTCACTCTAGGCCCTCATTTAAATTGGACAAGAAGTAGGGTAGAAGTGATTTTTAGAAATGTGAGAAAAATCCTAGAGACAAATAGTTTGTTGGCGATCTGTGACTTTCAAAGCTCAAAGAGTTGACGTAGAGTGAAAGTAGTGCATAATTTGCAAGTGGTATATTCTTCCGCTTAAAGTACATTTTGTTCTGATAGATGAAATTGTTGATGTGAACCATGTGGTTTGGTGTCTAATTTGTGCTGGTAGGTAGGTTTGAAATCCCTGTGAGAGATCAAAATACTTGTAACCTTGAATGAAATTGCCTTATCAGTAATGGTCTCTCCCTGACAGGAATTGTCTTAAATTGCTGCATTTAATCTAAATGTTTTGCTTTCCCTTCTCAGGCTCTCTCCAGAAACCAGAGTGCACAGGCGTTCCTTGGCCCAGAGAATCCCGAAGAGCCATACTTGGATGGCATCAACTACAACTGTGTGGCCCCGGGGAAGCGATTCAGGCCCATGGACAACCTGTCTGGAGGGGAGAAGACAGTAGCAGCCTTGGCTCTGCTCTTTGCTCTCAATAGGTAGGTAGACGAAAACATACAGTGCGCTGCGAACCATTGTGGCCCAACCAGGTCGGCACTTATCTCAGGTTGCCTTGGTATGAAACTACTGAGTATATTTCTATTTCCTCTCTGGGTGGGATGGCAGTCCATTGCAGCTTGCTCCCCAGATATTGCTGGTGCCCATTTTAAATACTTTTTGTGAAGAGAGGCTGGCTTGCCAAGGGAAGAAAACACATCTAGCCAGCAGCTGGATTTGAACCCCTGACCCGCTGATAAAATAAGTACCTGTCACTACCAGAGGTAGTTGGCTGAACTGAAGTGCTTGTGTCACATTATTGAAGTTACTCAGATGGGAAGATCAGAGTAGTACCTTGTTATTACCAGTTACAAAAGAATGCCTCCATCATTGTCCATTTCGATAGCTCTTGACTTGAGACTTGCTAATTTAGGATCAACTTTGAATTGATTTGATGTAAAGTTCAGCAGTGTAAGCATAGTTCCCAAAATCAGGGCACCAGCCACAATTGTATTAAAGGGGTTTCGTTTGGCCCTGAATTCTAAGTTGATTTTACCTTCATGCATGAATTTCAGTTACTGTTTTATTTTTAAGAGAAATGGTTGATGTCTTATGTGCCACAGCGATTCAGATCATTTTTGTGTTTGCTTTGTGACTCGTGCAGCTTTCAGCCAGCTCCGTTCTTTGTCCTGGATGAGATTGACGCCGCTCTAGATAACACCAACATCGGCAAAGTGGCTGAGTATATACGGGAACAGTCGGAAGGCCACTTCCAGTGCATTGTCATCTCACTCAAAGAGGAGTTCTATAATCACGCAGATGCTCTGATTGGCATATACCCTGAGGTAAGTCCATTCGTTGGTCCATGGATAGATTTCACTGGCCAGGTCCAATCTGGTCTTGTTTGGTTCAATCTGGCCTTTTCTGGTTCAATCTAGCCCTTGTCTGGTATGCTGTGGTACTGTTTGTTAGTGTAACATGTGACCCGCTCTGCAAAAAAGGATAATAAGTCGCGCAATGCCAAAACACGTAATGGCTTGTTCTATTTGGAGAGGGCAAAATTTCTTCAAAAACGTGATTTCGGTTTTTCCTTTAATGATATATTTATTACATATTTATATTTTCCGAATTTGTGACTACAAACATGGATACTGATGACCAAAGATGAAAAATGGATCATTCAGTAGGAAATGTGTTTCCAAGCGCTACACTTCATGAGCTTTTTCTCGAAAAGTGTTTAATTGGATCCGAAAATGTGGATATACAAATGTCTATATATCTCCAGAACACAGTGCACTACAGGGGTCATTCACACATCAAATTGTAGCTTGTGATGTACAGAATCCAGCTAAATCAAAAACTCATAACGTGAATCTGGTGACTTACTACCCATTTTTCCAGAGTCAGTCACATATGTCGGTCCCCTGCCGCATCAGTAATTTGTATGGCAGGTAGCCACTGGCTACTAAAACAAAGTATGACGTCACATCCAGGAGTTCCCCACTAATTATAGATGCAGCATGCACAATTCTGTTATTTTTTTAGACAGGGTAATTGATGTTTTCCAAAAGTGGTTAATAATGTATGCCAAATAACACTGGTCTGTGAAGAAATGTGAAGGACGTTTTTTTTAATTATGACACGGTTTGGGAAATGTGCAAAGCAGGGATGTGATTTCTCCGTTTTTTCCGGAATTCAAGTTTTTTGGGCCTCAAAAGTCGACTGTCATGAATCGCGGGAATCCGTTGAGAAAATCAGGGGGTACAATAAACTATTGAATTATTCATATCGCATTTGCATGCGTGCCAAAATGAATGGAAGAATAAACTCACATGTTTATTCTTTCTCCTCGAGGATCAGACACGTCAGACCTCGTACGTCTGCGTTATCTTTACATTATACAATGTACTTGTATACAATGTACTGTACAACGTACTTTTGTATTCCTCACATGTCCTTGTACCTGAGAACGAGGTTTTACAAGACTGGTATTTCGCTTGCATTATGTACAAGTAAAATGTGAAACCTGGCGCTCGTATTGAGCCCAGTTGCATCGTACGTACGCACACCGCTGTGTAAACCGTTGACTACACACACATGAGAACGATGGCAACACATTCATGCTCCGTTGACTGCAGGCTTTTCTCGTAGAGACATGTTCTCGGTGTTGGTACGCACATCGGCAGGAGTAGTACGGTTCACATTGCTGTGTGCGTACATGTACATCCATGTTGCATTTTGGGCTCGATACGAGTACTGCGCTATGTAGTCTAGTTCCTGCAGACGTTGAATGCAGTATCGGTAATGGAATTCACTTGTTTAAGGATTAGACTAGCATAATTTTGTGCGGCCTCGTGTAAGTGTGCACATTCGTAGTATCATACCGTGCGCGTGCGTACAGTTGTATACGTGCATACGTGTACAGTACAACGTCAGAGCCAACATGTCGCTCTTCCTGCAATTTTCAACCTGCAATTTTCATCGTTTCTGTTCACATTCTGAGCAGTCTGCTTGAATTGTAAAAATAAATAATACTGTACTAAGTTTTAATTGACCATTTGGTGTTGTGTCTTATCACTTGTTATGATGCCATAAAGGCGACACTGCATTTTGGAAATCTCTGTAATTACAGTGGAACGCCCTTTACCGAACACAGCTATACCGAACATTCGGCTGTACCGAACATCGTCCTTGGCTCCCAATATTTTGTGCACGAAACCTACGGAACATTATGCAGTTGCAAATCAACCGAGATTTGCCACAGCATGCATCAGAGATGGATCCTGAGCGGTAGCTTCACGACTTTTAGGATAAATCAAATATCAATTTTGTAACTCAAGATTTCATGAAAAAACAAAAATAAACCTCAAGCGTAAATGCAATGGCAAAACATCAAGAAAACAGTGAATCATAGTATCACAAGAGGCCGCACTTCAGTTAGACAAGAGAGGGTGCTATTCAACATGGCAACGAAATGTTCGGCAGTTAATTTCGCTATACCGAATGACCGCAGTACCGAACATTTAGCGTGGACCCCGTCATGTTCGTTATAGCGGCGCTCCACTGTACTCACAAATAATGCAATTCAAGCAAGTTAGTCACTGGGTCACAAACATTTATCCAATAGAAGCCTACTGTCATGCCCAGCGCCCGCGTGAATACCAGTAAAATAGCGAAGAAATATAATAGACTGGGTCATTCTCCCGTCCACAATCCCCCAAAATAGCGAGGGTGGGATTGTGTCAGTATGGGCCAGGATCATCTCTGTAGATTCAGGGGCACCCATCCC